TTAGCTGAAAGGGCTTCATGGGCCAGATCTGATCTGCAGCCATATACCTCCACCCAACATTAAGCACAAATACATATTTAAGCTCTCAGCTGTTCACAGATCCCAGCAGCTCCTGACACAAAGCTAGCTACGAGCAGGTAGGGTGGTTTTGGGGGGGAGGGGGAGAGAACTCTACTTCGATAGAGGTTTCTAAAACCATGCATAGTGTGAAGACAGTGGATAGAGGGAGAAATTTACAGTAAAAGCCTCCCATGACAGAGGAGAAACCTTACCTAATAACTAGGAAGGAAAGTGAGGAAGCAACTCAGAACCAAGTAAGTAAAACTAAATTGTAGACGAGAATTGAGGGACGCCCTATACAGGAACAGTATGTCCAACTTGAGCAGGAAGCCCTCTTATACTCCTTCCGGTCAAGAGGGGTCCACTAGGTGGGTGAAGTCGGTCTGAGGACATTTCACCAAGTACCACCTGCAGTTTTGTGGCTTACCACATGAGGCAGCTGTTTACATATATCAGACAAGTTACTAGATAGGACTCTTTTTTTTTTTTTTAGTTTAGGGAGGGAGGGAGCCAAATGGAAAAGTGATAAAGGTTTCTAAAATTGTGCACAGTGTGTGGAGAAGTAGCTAGACAGAAACACTTCTCCCCCTTTTGGAATATTAGAAATTGGAATTACAGTACCGGTGAGATTCACTGACAGTAGCTTCTTTGGTGGCAAAATACTCTTCACTTTGAGTATTCATTGTGTAGGATTCTTTGCCACTGGGTGTGATGATGGTCAAGAGCTTAGACGGCTGTTGCAGAAGATTAGAGCAAAACCCTGCTCACAGGGAGGTCAACAGCCCTCTCCTGCTATTGTTCCCCTGCAAAAACACTCAGAAGCAAATGGCTGAACTAGAATTTATTAAAAAATTTCCTAGAATTTATTCTCTGCCATCCCAGCTCTCTAAATTAGCATAGCAAAGCCAGGAAGATTGTGATCACTACTAATACCTCTGCTGTGGTGGATCGTCACCGTTCTTATCTTTTATACACTTGAGCTTTGGTTAAAAAGGCCACAGACTATCTCTCTCTCCATTGCATGGCCTTCTGACCCTACTGTTTACATTTTTTATCCTTCAGTGTGCGCATGAGCGCTAGACGATAACACATCATGAGTCTGACAAAGCCAACAGAAGATTATGCCACAAGACATGGTTAGTCATAAAGGTGCTGCCTACGAGATTCTTTTTTGATGCGACAACAACCTTGTAGCGTTGCGTGCCACTATGAGGTGTTGGTGGACAAGCCTACAGGTACTTGTAGGACTGCCTTGCTATGGTTCTCTTCATTCCAGGCTGGGTGGCCTCAGAGTATTTTGATGAGTGGCTGGAGTGGTTAAAGTGTCAGAGTAGGACTCAGGAGACCAGGGTTCGAGTCTCTACTCAGCCATGAAGCTCACTGGGTGGCCTTGGGCTTTTACTTCACAGAGTTGTTGAAGGCTCTGTTGTCTCCTCATCCAGATTCACTCCACCCAGGTCTCAGTAACGCACACCAGGTTGGCTCCCTCATTCAGTATCCAATTATGGATCCGTATGGACTCTTTGTGAACCAACCTGGCAGTGCACAGCCAGACTGTTGACTACAGAGGCAGAACAACTGAATCACAGGAAGCGTGAGGGATAATAAGTAGACACCTGACCCCTGTCCTTCCTTTCTAACTGCCTGCTCACCCACACACCATATTTTGCCAGTCCTGTAACTGCCTGAATTAAAGTTCCTTCCACCCACCACTCTCTTTCTGATCTTATTTCCCCAAAAGCACATGCCAACAACATAATCCAACAATAGGGTAACACACCAACCCATCACGCAAGTGTGCTTTCTAGGAGAGCATCCAGTTCCTACATAGGTTGCCCTCCCTTAATGTAAGCTCTCACCAGAAGATAGATGAGAGTAAGTTGGAAACAAAACACCCTCTTGACAAGATCTCCCTCTCACCAAGGAGGGTCCATCAAATTCACACACACCATGCTCTCATAGCGCTCACATAAATGCAAATTCAAACAAAGAGAAAAGGGTAGTGTCCTCACTACAGACCCCAAGGATCCTCCCCTTCCTGTGTTATCCTGCTGCACTGCAAGTCCTTATTAAGTAGCTAAAAGGTAAAGGGACCCCTGACCATTAGGTCCAGTCGTGGCCGACTCTAGGGCTGCGGCACTCATCTCGCTTTATTGGCCGTGGGAGCCGGCGTACAGCTTCCAGGTCGTGTGGCCAGCATGACTAAGCCGCTTCTGGCGAACCAGAGCAGCGCACGGAAACGCCGTTTACCTTCCTGCTGGAGTAGTACCTATTTATCTACTTGCACTTTGACGTGCTTTCGAACTGCTAGGTTGGCAGGAGCTGGGACCGAGCAACTGGAGCTCACCCTGTTGCGGGGATTCGAACCACCGAACTTCTGATCGGCAAGTCCTAGGCTCTGTGGTTTAACCCACAGCGCCACCCGTGTCCCTTAAATAGCTAGATGGCAGCAAATGAGCCACAGGCGCTTGCGGCCGCCTATCTCCCTCCTTGCGGATTCTGCCAAGACCCAGGAATGCACAGGTTGTAGGGCAGCCAAGGAAAGGGTGGGCAGGTCTTTCCCAACCTCCATGCTCCTTATAAGTTGTTATCAGTTATGTTTTGATTTGTTTCCAGCTGCCTTGAGAAGGATAGCCCTGCAAGGTGGCTACAAATGCTGGAATATTTTTTTTATTTTTTTAAACCCACAACCTCAAGGGGTAGACTGCTGCTATGTACTCTATATAGAACAACCACTGCTTGACTGTTTTTTGATCCAGTTCCAAGCAGATTAGCTGCGATGCAATTTTCTTCCAACTTTCATATTCGTCTAGAATGATCGACTACAATATCCAATAGGGTTTTGCATTCTGAGTTAGTGGCGCTCCTTTATCCAGTTTTTCATTCGGCAAATGATTTATGCAAGCTTAACTTTACACACTGTGAAGAACCCTATTGGTTTCAGAGGAGCTTACTCACAGCATGAGACATTAGCCGAACGCATAAATCATTGCAGAAGAGTGCTCTTTGAGGCCTATTTTCATTAGTATATATATTTTTGAACAGCAAATGCAAGGAATCGAAACTTGGAATTAGCAGCTAGTAAAACTTCCTTTCAAGGATCCAACTGCTTTGGTTAGGCATTACATGGCACTACCTTGTGTTTTTGTGTCACACTGTTAACATTCCTAGCACTGATGTGGTGCTATAATTTAGTGCTTTTAATTGGGCAAACATTCCCAGTCCAGACCATATTTCAGAAATATAGCATTAACAAAAATGTTCAACATCTGTGTTTTTATAGGAATGTTTACCTACCTTAGAGTCAGTGGTGGGAGACCAGAAAAGGGATAATAAGTCAGGATTTTTGTCAAGTTTCATGCGCCGGTCAACATTTGCACAGTAGTCCGCAGTGAGGTGTTGAAAAGCAAGTTGTTAACCGATGATAAGAATTCCACATTTGTTGTTTTGTTAAACAATGGTCACCTTTCTTTACAGTTAGTTTTATCACCATAGCCATATATTTGAATTTCAGCAAACGTGGGGGGGGGGACTGCGTACCCCGAATGCTGTACCAACCAATTTATAATGAGATTAACATCTTGGTCCTTTAAATGCTTTTGCAGCAGTTGTGTAAATAGTGGCGTATGCCTCTCCAGCTTACAGATGCATCTTGTTTTTATGGGCCTGGCTACTCATTTGCTTCTTCCCAACCTCAGGTTCTGATGTAGCCTGGCATTTAATGGTGAACAAATATGAGGGGACATAAAGTTGTTAAGTGTCCTTTTTAACTTGGTGCTTCTGTGTCTGTTAACAGCCTGACACCCAGAAATCAAGCAGGTGTATCTTTTCCAGACATGCATATTTATATGTTGTTACAATAACATAACATAACATTATATTATATCACTGTATATGATATGATTTGATATATTATTACTTTGTATAATCATAGAATCATATCATAGAATTGTAGAGTTGGAAGGGACCACAAAGAAGAGTTTGGAAGAAGAGTTTGGATTTGATATCCCACCTTTCACTCCCTTTAAGGAGTCTCAAAGCGGCTAACATTCTCCTTTCCCTTCCTCCCCCACAACAAACACTCTGTGAGGTGAGTGGGGCTGAGAGACTTCAGAGAAGTGTGACTGGCCCAAGGTCACCCAGCAGCTGCATGTGGAGGAGCGGAGATGCGAACCTGGTTCCCCAGATTACGAGACTACCGCTCTTAACCACTACACCACACTGGCATTCTCTGTGGCAGTCCCTAATTTGTTGAATTCCCTCCCCAAAGGGATATGTCTGGCACCTTCATTGTTCAGCTGTTACATATTGTCCATTGTTATGCTGAAGATGCACCTCTTTACCCCATGCTTTGATGCTTGCTCTATCTATCTATCTATCTATCTATCTATCTATCTATCTATCTATCATCTATCTATCTATCATCTACCTATCTATCTATCAATCAATCATCTATCTATCTATCTATCTATCTATCTATCTATCTATAGAAGACATTCTAGTTGTGACGGTAACTTGTTTGAAATTTTTTAATGCTGTTGTTGTAACCTACTCTGGGACATTCTGGTGACAACAACAATTTACCACCTTTTTGCTTTGCCTTGCAACTTTAGACATTATTGATTATTACTTAATATATACTCATGTACAGGCTGCCTGACAATACAAGAAGACTAGTCCCTGCCTCAAGGAACTTACAATCTAAAATTCAATACAGGTGAAAGAAACAACAGAGGAAGAGGAAAATTTATTCTGAAAAACTTTCACCAGCCACTGTTGATTTAATAGTCTCTCAAACAACAACTGCTGTCATATTTTAGGGTTTATTAATGTTGTGTGTGTGTCCTACTATTTTTTCTAGAAAGTTTTTTTTTTAACTTTAATTTGTATGTCACTTTGGGCACACCGATAAAGAAAAAGTGAGTCCTAAATCATAGAAATAAATGTAAATACTTTTATGTACATTTCCCAGAAACCAATTTGGCTTATCTTTACAATGGCAGGGACAAATGAAATAAACCCAGTCTTTTCCTTAGTCTTATGTTAATTGGTTTCTCTCCTATTGTTGCACCGGTGACAATGCTGAACTTTATCTGTAGGATCAGTCTCCAGAAGAAGAAGAAGAAAATTGCTGATGGGTCTGTTTACTTGAATACAAGGATGGATGCAGTCCCAGGAGGCACCAAAATAATGCTGCAAATGGAGCAGAGCTTGTGTAGCTGATACCTTGGAGGCCTGTTGTAATAAATGCCCAGCTCTCTTGGGAATCAGGGAAGACAAAGCAGCATGCAGCATAGGCATCTGTGTGTGAATTTTCTCAGTGTACCTAGAGTCCATTGCAGTCATGTGAGCTTTGTTCGCTGGCCCTTTTCTCTTTTCAGTTGTCAATATTAGCACCAGAAGTGACTTCTGACTTCATGGGAACCAGGAGGGGGAGAGGGGTGAGTCATTGCTCTTTTAAGCCACATAAGCGCTCTCTCATGGCATGGCTTTTAAAAGCAACACAAAGAATTGGATCTATATGGGTTCATCCCAGCCAGATGCTGAATTCCTTATGGGAGAAGCTGACCGTGCTCCATTCCCACACAAATCAATGAATGAGCCTCACCATGGGATGCAGAATCCGAGCTCTCCCCTGCCCAACACACAAAAAATGACCACTCACTTGGCACATGACAAAAACAACCATGCAAAAAATAATGATGATGATGTTATACTTCGGTACTTTCTGAAATCTGCAAACGACAAAACAGTCCTTGCAAAAATCCAGCACAGAAAACATAGCACAGAGGAGGCAATTATTGCAATGTCTATTTCTTAAAATAAATGTGGTCTGTAGAAAGGTGTCAGCAAAAGTACGTGCATTTTTTTGGAAAGAGAGAAAGGCACTTGTAAAAGTGGAAGGTCCTGCAGCTTTAGAAGCATGGGCATCCTGCCAGGGGAAAAACAACCCCCAAGGTGCCAGTGGAGAGCCAGTGTGGTGTAGTGGTTAGAGCGCTGGGAGACCAGGGTTCAAATTTCCACTTGACTACAATGCTCACTGGGTGATCTTGGGCCACTCACTGTCTCTTGGCCTAACCGACCTCATGGGGTTGTTGTTGTGGTGGGTTGGTTAACATGAAGAAAAGAACCATGTACCCCACCTTGAGACCCTTGGAAGAGAGGTGGGAAATGAAGGGAGATTAAGCACTTGAAAAAGTAACTGGTGCAAGTGCAATCCTATGCATTACTTACTCAAAAGTTGTAAGTGCCATTGGATGGGATCAACTAACTAATCCCACTAGCAAAAGACTTCACAAGGACTTAACTGCGATTCCTGTATTGCGGGGGCTGGACTCGATGACCATTGGGGTCCCTTCCAGCTCCACAATTCTATGATTTTATTACTTTTGCAAGCACAGCATGGCTTTCTCCCCCCCCTGGCATTCCCCTTGTGCCCATGAAAAATTGGATCTGGGGGGTCAAGTTTCAGCACTCAAGGGCGGGAGGTGTGGTGGGGGGTGTTTCACTTGACAAGCTGAAAAGCTTCTGCTGTTGGAACGATTGCCATAGGGCTATGACACAGGGCTACAGTTCTTCCCATTGTAGCCAATGGTGTAGCTTCCTGGTAAGTGTGTTTAGGATTTTAGCCTTACTGTGTATATCTGCTGTCAATGGCAAGAACAGGGGTGGCAGAGATTCTCATCGCCGCCACCACTCAGTTCCAAATACTGAAGCCGACCTGCACATCGGTGGAAACTCACTTCAACACTCTGTAGCTGAATGTCCTCCAGCACACTTGAGTGCAGCAGATGAGTTCGGAGATTGTAGGGCAAGTCATGCGGCACACCCAGTTCCAACACCTCACTGTTGCTCATCCGTATCTTCTGCCTGAGGGCAGCTGCCTCACTCTGCCAGTCATGGGGAAAGCCCTGTTTCATCAGATGGACTTGATGTTCTCCTGTTATCCTGAAAAGCAACACAGGTTACCTCAATATAATAATAATAATAATAATAATAATAATAATAATAATAATAATACCCCGCCCTACCCAGCCAAGACTGGGCTCAGGGCGGCTAACACCAGGTATAAAAACAATTGATTAAAATACAACTTAAAAACAAGGTTAAAATACAACATTAAAATGCAGCCTCATTTCAGTAGAAACTCAAATCAAAAACTTTTTGGGGATGAAAACATCAAATCTTCACCAAGGCCAACTATCCAGACTGGTCCAATGTGGGCCAGAAAAAAGCCAGGGAAGTCCCCAAATAGGAGTTCCATCACAGAAGAAAGAAAAATGGAAAGAGGAAAGAGTGGAAGGGGATCAAGTTGATTCCAAGCCAAAGGCCAGGCGGAACAACTCTGTCTTACAGGCCTTGCGGAAAGACATCAGATCCAGCAGGGCCCTGGTCTCAAGAGACAGAGCGTTCCACTAGGACGGAGCCAGTGTTGAAAAGGCCCTGGCTCTGGTTCACAAGCGAAGAGAAGCCAGCAAGAATAGAATGTAGTCCTCAAATCAGCTTGATATATTAACACGACAGCTTAAGAACTCAAAAGAAATACATCATTAATTATATTCACAGGTTTCTCCCTGCCCCAGTCCCCAAACAGCGGGAAACCCCAGGAGTGACACAACTGGGTTTCGTTTCCTTTGGATAGGGTGGCCATTTACACAGTGCCACAAAGGAGAACAGTGATTTGCATCAAATTTGCTAGTGTATAGGTATAGATGCAGTTTTAGAAGCAATTGCTATAATTTAAATAGAGATACATCTCAACATAGTGGGGGAAACTGAACAAGCGACCTGTGTGCCTGGCTCAGTCTGCCGTGCAGGTAACGTCCAGGTAACGTCCCCTGTTATTTTCTTGTGGTTCTTAATCTAAGGCAATACTTGAATTTCAAGTGGCTGACCCCTTTAGATAGAGCAGTATTTCCTAAACTTGGGTCTCCAGCTGTTTTTGGACTACAACTCCCATCATCCCTAGCTAGCAGGACCAGTGGTCAGGGATGATGGGAATTGTAGTCCCAAAACAGCAGGAGACCCAAGTTTGGGAAACATTGAGACAGGGAATTGCCTTCTGGCAACCTTTATAGAAATAAATAATAAACATGCATAGGATTATCCTGAAAAGCACTGAATGTGGGGCATAGGTTTCTCCTGTGCCACATTATACATTTTTGCAGGGTCAAAAAGGGCTTTGTTTCTGGTTGAGTGCAAGAGTGCTGTCTAGTGGCATCCTAGAAAGCAGAATGAAGGCAGTTATGACAGGCTTTTGGAGAAACTTAAGCAAGCAATCCAGTGTGACTCAGGATTGTTGGGAACAAATGCTTACCAATGAGTCTGTAGCAACTCCCAATTGGGGATTTCACAGAGGAAGAAGGTTTGAAGGGGATTTCAGCTTTCTCATCTTTCTCATTCGGACTCATAGAGACCCTTTTCATCTTAATTCCTGCAATACTGAAAACATTTATCCAACTTGTTCCTCAAATCCTAATGACCTGAAACTGAAAGAAATGGCAAAATCTGAGTGAACACAGATCAGATTGAAAGGCCATTTTCTCATCAGAGAGGATGTGTTCCAAACTGAGATTAATTCATCTACTGGCATCTTGGAATATTGTAACAAATCAGCTAGGAAAACTGGAAACATAATTTAGCCCATTTCACATTTTAGTAGCAAGGCAAATAAACGTCACTCACGGTAAAACAAGATTCAGAGCAATGTTCCAATTATATATTCAATTTAAATTGCAAAAAAATCCCAATGTATTTTAATTTGTTGTTTTTAAATTGGGGTGTATGGGGTGTTAGGGGATGGGTAGTATCTTTGATGAGGGTCCCCCACACTCTCATCTGTGGCTCCTAGAAGCTGTTAGCATGCAACAGCAGTCATACCCCAGGAACAGCTTTGATTGGCTGGCTAAACCAGGTGAGGGTAGCTGATGGATCTCAAACCCTTGGTAAGTTAGGGGATTCCCCTGCATGTGAAGACAGACTCTGGCAGACTGAGCAGACAAGATCAATACTGGGTTTTGATGAAGAAGGTGGTTTCTACATGAGCTGTAGAGGGAAATGAGGAGCAGATAGGGCTCGTCAACCTGGAAAGGTAGCCCATGTAGATGGAAAACTCTGATCCTAAACCTCCAGTGCCTTATAGCTAAACTCATTTGTGGAAAAGGCTTCAGGAATAAACCCCAAGGAGCAATCCATACCCACCGCCTTGCGGAACATCTTCAGGAAAAGAAAAGGCTAAGGCAGGGGTGGGCAACCTAAGGCCCGTGGGCCACAAGTGCGGCCCACGTGGGTCATTTAACCAGCCCACGAGCTGCCCCCCAAACTGAGCTGACTGCTTGGTGAGTCCCTGCAAGCTGCACTAAACCGGTGCAACGTGGCACAGGGACTCACTTCCATGGCGCCAAAATTGCATCTGTGCATGCGTAGATGCTGGAAATCGCATCTGTGCAGACGCCGACAGGCAGGCGCGCGCAATCCAGCCAACAGAAGGGTCTCCGCTAGAGTGAACCAGCCAAGGCAAGGTAAAATTTGCTGTCCCCTGGGCTAAGGAGTAAACCCTGCATACATCTGAAGTGGAGTCCCTAAGGTGGTTGGATGGCAGCTACTACTGGAGCCAAGCTGGTGCAAAATGTATAGCATTGCTTTCCTTTGGACCACATCAGCAAGGCTGAAAGGAGGCAGGGAGCCCAGGACCTCCATATACACTGCCCAGATTTGCACCTCAGAGAAGTCACTTTGGTGGTGAAAATGCAACAAAATTTTACATATCTCACAATAGCTAGCAATATAGGTGCTTATGGGAAATCTTTCAAGTTCTGAACATCAGATGGGGAAATGACTGCCATTTTGTTTTCCATAAATGTCATCTTAGCCCACATGCCTGCACCTCTAGAATTCATATTGAGTCCCCCTTCCACAGCCACAGGTCAGCGGTAATAGCAAAGAGTTGCAGCGTACAATTCCACATGCCTGAAAAGTGGTCGCCAGGTCTATTTCTGTTGTAGTTTGTACATTAACTTTGATACAGGTTGTGTTTGAAAAGCAAATAGCATTATTTACTCTCATACTGTCTCATTCTGAAGAAGGGCATGGATTATTTATGTACTGTTCCCCAACTCTTTATATAGTGGAATACCTTCCTCACTTTTCCCCACTCTACAAGGACCATATTTGGTGAAGTGATGTGTGGCATGATAACTCAGGATTTCTCCTTCACTCTGTTTTCTAGACAGTATGTAGGCCTGCTCTCTAAGGTGGACAGTAGCTCCCTAGGAAAGGGCAGAATGGGCTCTCCCTGAGGGAACATAAGAAGCATAGATTCTGGATCAGACCAAAAGTCTATGTAGTTCCGCATTCTGTTATTACAGTGGCCAACAACCGTCATAGCCTTCAATTTCTGTTCCCCAATAACTGGTATTACTAGAGGCATACTAGTGATATTCACATTCACAAAAGTTAAGGAGTATGGTTGGTATCCGTCTGCCTTGGGAGGCAAAGGAGGAGTGCACCTTTGCGGGTGAGGTCAAACCATTAGAGTTACAGCGCCTGGTGTGGCTGTAGAGACCGATATGGGAAAGACATGTTTTGTTGCAGCTGGGGCCGATGAAGGTGCTCTCTGAAAATGTGTTCTAAATCCTGCTTTATATCCTAAGGTAAGCATAGCTCTGCTGAAACGAGTTTAAGAACAAATATAGCCTCAGCCTTCAACCAGCTAAACCTCTAAACTATAGGCCGTTCAAATTAGATACAAATTACTATTATATTATTATAAATTATTGCTGTTTTTTTAAAATATATATATATAGTTGTTATTCATATTATTATTAGGTAACAGCATCATTTGTGGAAACTGCATCCAGCATGTCTTGTTAATGCAGTATTTAGTGTGTACAACATCTATTATACTCGAGATGATACTCTACCTTGGTTTTAAACATTTTTGACTAAAATATTTTGTTAAAGATTAACAGATTTCTTCAGAAGTCAGTTGGAAACATTATGGTTTTTTTGAAAAGTTGTCCATTTACTAATAAAGGAATCTCTGTGTCTTATCCTTTCATGAACCAGTTGTTTGCTTCTGGTTACGGCATGATACATGTTCAAATTATGGAACAGATTGTAGATAGGTGAAGCGAGATCATCAAGGTGGGTAGTAGGTGACTAGAGGTAGGTGACTACCATGTAGCATAGTGAGAAGAACAAACAGTAAAAGTATAGAGAGCATTGTCAGCGGAATTGATTTCAAGACGAGAGGACTTTTTTCCCCAGTGAGTGTGAAGCAAGGGATGGAATTAACAGAAATGTGTCTGGTTAGAATCATACGGGTATCAGTGGCATGCATGATGTGGGTGGATCTCAAGGGACCATCTGCCTGAGCCATGTTCTAGAAGTCATCAGTTTAATCTGGACCGCAAAAGCTGATTCTGAAGCCAAAAAACATATTCAGAAATATCACATGGTATGGTCTTCACATGACTATTGTGAATAAGCAATCACACTTGACTGCCCCCACTACTTAGGAAAAATATCACTGCCTATAGAAAATCTGTTCAGTCTGAAGAGTTGATGGTATATAGTTAATGACAAATTGAGTATGATACCAAATGTGGGTTAAAGTGGCTATGCTTATTTGATGACCTGTTTTTTTGGAGGGGTGCCATGTTTGTCCCCCCCCTTTCCCTCTGTCTTCTATGATTTGGGTTATATGCAGGTGTTTTACCCAATGGGTTGCTTTTCTTTTTTTGATGGGGTGGTGGCTCCGAGCACCACCAGTTTTTCTTCTGGGAAATGGGTATTTGGCCGAGAATATGGATTTCCAAAATGGTTGGGGATCTCTGCCTTTATCCAACGCATTGCCTTCAGATGCGGCGGAGGTTGCTCCCCCATCCCTAGTGTTGAAAGGAGAGCAAACAGGGCCTGTTTGCTCAGCTTTTGTAAAGAAATGGAAGCGGTGGACCATCTTGTCACTTGCCTCAGGCAGAAAAAAATGTCAGGCCAGCAACAAAATCCGGAGGACCACAAGCCAATCCCGGCACTTGTCAGCTCTGTTAAAAACCATTCTCTTGGAGTCTGAGCATCTTCCAGATGTTTTTGCCAAACCTCCTTCTTGCTTCTGGCTTCTGAACATCTCACACCCCCTTCTGTTTCAAATTAAGCAGTCCAGAATAACTACCACCCACTCTGGTTTCATACTCAAGCTTGCCTTCGCATCTGAGCCTTCCTTCCCCTAAAACAGATTATGTGCGCTTTGGGAGGAGAGAGTTAAGAATACAAAATTAAAAAAAATAAAATAAAATAAAAATAAAAGCACCTGACGGCAGACGGAACGGCGTTTCTGTTTGCTTTTGAAAGAGAAACTTCACCCCCTGTTAAAGGCACCTTAACGAGTCGCGCTTTGCCACGGTCTCCTCTTGGCTGTAGGAGGCGAAAGGGCCGCGGCGAAACTCTGCTTGGTTTCGAAACCAGCGAACTGCTTCTCGTTCGCGCCGACTGCCTGAGGGAAGGAAAGAAAGAAAGAAGGAAAGAAAGATCCGCCGCCGCCACCCTGCGTGGAGCCGGCGCGCGGGGTTGTTGTGCAAGAGTTTCCCGCTAACTTCCACCAACTTCCTCCCGAGCCTGGCAGTGGGCGAAGTTGTTGTCATCGACGCAACGCCGGCTTCTTATCAGTTCTGCATGCCGGCTGCCTTCAATATATATTTCTGTATCTATATATCTCCGGCCTCCCTCAGGCGCGCGGGCGGCTCCGCCCTCAGGTGATTGGCGCCAGAAGAAGCCTCCCGCGCAGGAGCGAGAGCGGGAGGCCGACCTGGCAGCCCCAAGGCGCCTTTTTCCTCCCTTCAGGCGCGCGCGGCGTGGGCAGGCAGCAGCCGCCGCAGGCAAGTGGCGGGGAGTTCCAGCGGCGCCCAAAGGCCGGCTTCGGATCTTCTCCTTAACCCGCGGTCTTGGGAGAAGGCCGGAGGAGGAGGAGAAGGGCCGCCGGCAGCCTTAACCTCGTACCGTACCCTCTCCCGCATTTCAACTCGGCTGCGCGGTCTCCTGGCGCCTCACGCCGGGCCGGGCCGGCGGGCCGTTTAGAAATAAGGCCGGGCGTGAGAAAAACGCACCTCGAGAAATTGGTGCTGTTTAAAAACGGGCAGAGGCCGGTGACGCCGAGGCGAGCGGCGCCGGGAGATATTGTAAAATAATAATAATAATAATAATAATAATAATAATAATAATAATAATATAATAATAATAATAATAATGTATTTAACAGTGTGGCAAGCTGTAAAAGGGGCGGGGAGGAAGAAAGGTGAAGAAAAGGTGAGAGAAAGGAGCGTTCCTGAAGTAAGGATGGGTCGTGGTTTTTGAGGTGTGGAAAAGACGGGTGGTGTGGTTATTTATTCAAAGGCATTTGCACTTCTTTAAGCCGGCCTTGGGGTGGAAATGGTGGTGGTGGGTGGGAACAAAGTATTTCATTTATTACTGTATTTTTAATATTGTATTTGAATTTTTCAGTGCTGGGGAGGAAGAAGGATTGAAGAGGATTGTGACATACTGAGTGGAGAGTGAGGGAAGTGAAAGGGCCAGGCAGTTAAAGAAATAGAAGAAACTTTATATTTGGTCCTAATGGGTGGGGGTGAGGGAAGGGGACCCTATTGGTGACACATGTGTGCAAGTTTGGAACAGGCTCTATGGTGGTGGCTAGCTGGATTTAGGACCATGTTGGTGTGCAAGGATGTGGAAAGTTCCTTCCAGGGCAAGGTATGAGGGCACATGTCCAGTTTAGTTTCTTGATGGAAAGAGTGAAGGATATAAATGTACTAAATAAGAACCATGGATTCCCTTCTCTACATAAATTAGAGCATCGGCTTCCTTCTCTCTACTTTAGAACCTTAATCTGGTATTAATTATATCCACTTGTTATATAATTTGGTACGGTATATTACCCACTCCCTGCTCAGCATCATCACTGCACACACAATCATTTCCCCCACTTTTCTGCTCTTGCACAACTGTCTCCTGTGCTACTTCATCTCTAGCCCCAGTCCTCTTAGGTGCTTACAACCTTACTATTTTTAAATTTTTTTATAATCTGACTTTTTTTTTAAAAAAACCCCAATCTAAATGAACCTTGGTTGTTGTTTTTTAAAGGCCTGCGTTATAATCGGTTGAGGGCACCAGAACTTAATAGTATCCCATAGCAGATCAGCACTGTGATTGTTTGGACAGGCAGCTAGCCAAGGATAGGTAGGTCAGTAAAAAAAGAAAGAAGAAAGGCCTTTTACCAATAAGGCATGCAAAACTTGGTTGCATTGTCACTGCTGCTGGTGCTTCCAGTTTGTGAAACAAGTGTAGGGTGTCATTTTTATATTTAACATTTCTATCCCTGCCCACTCGTCTTCCTAGAACCTTAAAGCAACACCATCTTGCGAGGCAGATTGGCCTGAGAATTAGTGACTCACCTGAGACAAGTCAAGGTTTATAACTAAGAGTCAAATCAGGATTTCTCAAACTCAAAACTGAGCAGTGCTGCACTACTGTACATTCTTTTTTTACACATTTTTTGCAAGGTTCTTTCTGGTTGATTTGAGTATGGATAGGGCAGTGTTTCCCAACCGGTGTTCCGCGGCACACTAGTGTGCCGCGGAACGTTGCCTTGTGTTCCGTGGGAGGGAGGCGGGCGGCGAGAGGCGGCGGCGGCGAGCACACGCGGGGCGGCGAGCGAGCTCCCTCCCACATCCCATCGCCGCTCGCTTCGGCCGGCCTACTGGAGGAAGGCGCGAAAACCTCGCGCATGCGCAGGCCTTCCGCCTGCGACAGCCCAGTAGGCCGGCCGAAGCGAGCGGCGATGGGATGTGGGAGCTCGCTCGCTCGCCGCCCCGCGTGTGCTCGCCGCCCGACTCGCCCGCCTCCCTCCCACGGCACACCAGCCTACCTCCGTGTGCCTTTGCCCAAAAAAGGTTGGGAAACACTGGGATAGGGGTTACTTTGTGGAAGAATGAGAATGTTAATATTAGAACTCAAATTTGAGTCTTTGGAAGCATTTGGTGGAGTACAAGGGCTGAAGAAGGCATGATGACTGCTTGGAGACGGTGTTTTGTGAGAATTGTGTGGTGAGGACAGGACGTTGTGGGAGCAGATCTGCAGTGCTGTGTGCACTTCATAGTGTGTGCATGGAGAATGAGGTGACTCTAACATGCTGAGGGACTTTACATGTACAGGAGAAGGCATTTTGGAGGGAGAAATGAGGCATGTGCTACACTTGTGTGGAACTTAAATGGGTTGGGCAAAAGTAGGCTTTGTTTCACCTGGGTCAAAGACCCAGTTTGGCACCCTACATACACATTTGCATACACACTACACAGGCTGGGAGCCTTAATACACCCCTCTGAAGGCTTCACCCAGGCAAAAAACATGCCCCCTGCTACCGCTCTGGGTTGGGAGAGGAAATTGACAATTTATGGAGGCCAGGTGAACCTGAGGATGTGGATGCTAGCTGTAGAGGGAATGAAAAGGAACATCCTGTAAGGTCTTCTGTGGGTTTGATAGGTATGCCATTTCAACTGGAAATTTTTGGGTGGGGAAGAGACTGGTTGACTGCTGTGGTTGCAATAGGGCCTGTTTGCAGAAATGAGTGGATTGCTGACTCAATGGGGACAACGTGTGTGTCTGGATAGGTCTGTTAATAGTGGAGCAAGAATTTGTGGTCAGGATAGTGTGTGGCTGTGTGATGCTGGGGTGAATTTTGTGTGTGTGTGTGTGTGTAAGTGAGAGAGAGACCTGCGGGTATAGGGTGATATATAAATTTAATAAATAATAACAATATATAATACACCAATCCATTAAGTGTGAGGATCTGGTAAGGGTGTCAGCTGTAAGGATGAATGGGGTGTGGGTGAGACAGTGTGTAATTTGTTGTGGGGGATGGAAAGAAAAAATAGGGGAAAGGCTGGTGAAATGTCATTGCATGCCGTGAACGAGAGGAGCCTGCGCTTGGATTGGTAACAGATTCTTTTTCAAACCAGTGATCTGAGGGTGAGAGAACTGGGCGTGGATACTCCGGTTAAGGGAGTAAATAGCCTCTGGGTGTAGGTTTGTAGGGATGCTAACCAGAAGCAGGGCGGAGTCCAGTCTTCTGGGTGAAGCTCGGACGAGGTGGGGGCAGCCTCTCGATGCATCCGTGGCTTTGCATCTGACGAAGCTTAAGCTTTCTTCCTCGAAAAACTGGTGCCGCGGTAAATGCGTTGCCAGGTTTTCTCGGGTGTGTGCGTGCGCGCGCGTGTTCCTTCCACATTCTTTGTAGGGTTCTCCCCACCCCACCCCCCGCCGTTTAAAAACAAAAGTGGAAAGTGGGTCGTCGGGCCAGGGCGTAAGAGCGGCTGCTGCTGCTCCTTGCAGCAGAACTACGTCTCGATCGTCACCACCACCACCACCAGTGCCGCGGCGGCGGCGGCTCCAGGAAGCTCCTGAGGACATGCGAGAAGGGAGGGAGGCGACGAGTGGGAGCGAGGGAGGCGGGCCGTGGCGCAGAGCAGGGTTGTGGCAGGCTGTGCGCGCGCGCCCGCGCCTCTCCCTCCCGCTCTCTGGCCGAGTTTGTAAACACAACCCTCGCGCTGAGGTGGGCGGAGCGCGACCGCCCTGCCGCTCCGGATTGGCCTCGAATCCTCGGCGAATGTTTTTACAGTGGCGACTGGGCGGGCGCCTAGCCCTGTGTTTGGAGAAGCGGTCAGAGCGCGGCAGTGCCCTCCTGGCTGGCTGTGTTTTGTGCGTGCGGCGGGAGCAGCTGCAGCGGCGGAGAGCTTTTTCTCCCGGCGCGCGCGCAGCGTGTGTATATGTTTGTGCGCGTCGCCCTCTTCGCCTCTGCCTTCGCGGAGGAGGAGCGGGGTCAGCCTAGGGGAAGTTTCGGGTTTGCCTCGGGATGACTCAGACGCCATAAAGCGTAAGTAGCGGCCGGGGGATGGGTGCGTTTGCGAGTGTGTGTGTGTGTGTGTGGGATGGGCTTGTGGGCCGGGGTCTCTCGGTGTGCGTGCCTGTGTCTCCACCCCTTCTTCTTATCCCCTCCCCCTTTGTGTGTGTGCCCGTCTCTGGGTCTGTTATTCTCCTGCCTTGAGCTCGCTCTCCCTTTGTTGGGTTTCATAGCGGGAAGGGATTTGTCCTCCACGTTCCCGGTCGGGCTGCCGCCCGGTGTCGTTTCCCAGCGAGCACTCTTCAGACCGCGGAGAAGCGACTTGAGCTTGCAGTTGAATTTATTTTCAAGTCACAGCGCGGGTGTTGCCCCCACCTCCCTCTCTCCTGCTCCCCTCCCCCCAAAGCTCCTTCCCAGGCTTTGCCTTTGCATGGCTATTTCCCCCACTACTCCCCACTTTTTTGTTCCGTGCTTGTGATGGTTTTTCCAACTTTTTGTATGCGTGTCTTTAAATTGACATTTTTCTTCAACCTGTTGTTGGTTGCGTCTCAATCGGGCAGCGATGGAGCGCTTAGTCAAGTCACGCTAGACATTTTGGAAAGAAAGTAAATAAAGGTGAGTTGGAGCGGGTGGTGGTGTCTCCTCTTGTCTCCCTGCCGGAGTGACCGACTGCGGTTCGTTTCTTGCTGTTCCCTTTTGCCATCGACCGAAACAAAATGTAAATAAGAGTCGCCGTGGCGTCTCGAAAGGTTTCGAAGTGAAACGTTTCCTTGCGTCTTTTTCTTAGCCCTATAGCAGAGAGAAGGATTTGGTGGTGGCGAACCAGCCGTAGAAAGGATGAGGGGAGGGGAGGAGTGAACGGAGGAGCACTTTGCAGTGTACAAACGCTATTGTTGTGACGCACTTTTACAACTGATTGCTCTTGCCAAACCTTCCAGACTTGCTGTGATCAGCATATTCAGTAGAACAATGGAGAGAGAGCCTGGCCGACTTCCCTGTCCTGCACAATCACGGCATCGACTGCTCACTTAACATTTCAACACTGTATCTGATCCTCCTGTCTAATGACTTGGAGAGGATTGGTGATCCAAGTTAATATTCCTTTTTCTTTCTTTTCTTAGCCAGTTGAACCACCTCCCCCCTCCCCCACAATCAAACTTGGAATGCTTGCTCAGCTGGCTAGCAAGTTTTGTCTTCAAACTTTTGTTGTACTTGTTTTTCTTTTGACCAGGAGAAGCTTTTTTTGTGAATGATGTTGGACTGGATAATACAGGTTGACATCTTCAACAGTGCTCACTTTTATTTTTAATTCTGGCATGCTGGTTAATTTGTACATGAAAAGGGGATGGAAAATACACAGTGGTTTGTATTTGTATTGTATTTCTTAATATTGCACTGCAATTCCACCACTATTAACCTAGTCTTGGGTGAACATTATGTGTAATTTCAGTTGCCTTTCTCTTTCTCCTCTTATTTTCCAGGGGGAGAACACAAATAAAAGGCCCAATGGCAAAACAATCTTCTGATTTAACTTCTGAGTGCGGTAGAGAGGGTGGACAATTGCAGCCTGCTGAAAGGCCAGCTCAGCATCTTCGGCCTGGGGCCCCTACCTCCTTACAAACTGTGTACCAAGGTAATCATTCGGGCGAGCGGGACACTTCATCACCCAGTAGCCCTCAGGGACCACTGGCACCACCCTCCAGCCCCAGTCCGTTTGCTACCAGATCCCCGTTGTTCATATTTGTAAGAAGATCCCCACTGCTGTCCAGATCCTCCAGTGGGTATTTCTCTTTTGACACCGACAGGAGTCCTGCACCTATGAGTTGCGACAAGGCCACACAGACTCCGAGTCCCCCGTGTCAAGCCTTCAGTCATTATCTAAGCGCAATGGGTAAGCTAGACCATGGTAAGGAATACTTCCACTTGTGTTCTGAATTCAGCCTGCCAGTGAAGCTTGCATTTGTGTGTGTGTGTGTTTGGCCTTATATGAACTCTGAAAGGGGGTCAGTTAGTGCAGTGTAGTGGTTGAGAGACTGAACTGTGAGCCATGAGGTTCACCAGCTCAGATCTTTCCTTTGCCGTGAACTTGCTAGGTAGCCTTTTGCAGATTACATAAGCACACAAGAATATCCATGCTGTGTCAGACCAGTTGCCTATCTGGCATGCTGTTACCCACAGTGGCCAACCAAATGCCTGTTGAAGCCCAGAATCAGGACAGATGAAATAGCAGTCTCTCCACTTGTGCTCTCCAGTAGCTGGGACTGAGAGGCATGCTATCTGTGGTATAGGGATAATATAACAGTGTGGTTTGACAAATTTACTGAGGCAATTGTATGTAAAATGTTTGGAGTACTCTGAAGTGTTAAATAAATGCTAGGGATTACACACACCCTGTATATGCTATAGGAATAGTATGCCAAGAAGTCAAAAAGAAACTGCTTTTCTGGGATATTTTCTAGTAAATCAGGAAGTTACTGTATATTAAGCAGCACTATGATTCTTACACCCTTTTAGAGTAGTCCTGTAATTTCAGTGAGGCTACTCTGGAAGAAGTAAGGGCCAAGCTGCACATGATGCTAAATGTGCCACTTGTAACATGAATGTTTTTACAATACTAAAAAACTATGGAGTAGGGGTGATCAGTATTGGCACTGTGGTGTGCTGGAAGGGGGTGGAACAGCTTCCTCTGGCACAGTCCCGATGAGTGTTGCTCCTGTCTGCGTAGTATTGATCCTGGAAGTGAAGCTTTCATTGATGCTAATGGAAACTTTTTTACTGGAGCAAATAGTAGTGGGGTGGAGAGACTTTCACTGGACTGCAGTTGTGGTGGAAATGCTCCCTCCAGCACATCCTCATCAGCCCCCGCCCCTCCACCATACCTCTTAGTCACTGTTTTAAAAACATGCAGAAAACTGAAAATGATGTTCTTAGTGTCCTATGTAACTTGGTCCTAAGTTGAAGATTGTCATCAAACCATCTAACTTGCTGCCTATGCTTTTTTCAGCCATTGCTTAGAAGCGCAGGAAGGTAGCATCTGCATGTCAGTCATCACCCTCCACAAGGCACTAGACATTTTTCAGGAATACACAAGCAGTGGCACTCTTGACTGGAAGCTACACCAGCTTCCATCCATGGTGGCCATCTGCCATCTTAACTTATCCAAAATGCAATTCCTCTGCCTATAGATCAATGGAATCTTCTGGTGTCCCATGTGGATTACAGATCTGTGAAATTATAATGCCATAAACCTATGTGCCAGGGCGTTGCATTTTGCATGACTTAAAATGATGGATGGGAGCCAAGTTTGGCTCCTGTTCAAAGGCAGCACTACTACTCACTGCTGAAAAGCATCTGGAAGAGGGCCATGAATGGTGATGCAAATGGCTTGGACCAGTGAGGGGCCACTGGGACCTGGTCTGGCCAATTGCTGGTGCCAGGCATGCAGTGACTGGAATTGGCTTCTCACTGCATATCTGGTTTTCAGGTGTTCAAAAGGTTAGATTACCTGTAAATTGCAAGATTTGGAATAAGTGAATACTGAAAAGTGCAGGCGATTGGTATTGGCAGCCCCATGTCTAACCAAGTCTAAAATTAAGAGACTGCAGTGTTCACTATGAAACAAACTTGAACCCTCACACTGATGATGGGCTGCTTCAGATGTAATGTTTAGAGACGTCATTTAGTGTTCCTTGAACAAGCCTAGGTGAGTTTCAAGCCTTTGTGGTCCCCTCCCCCCTCTGACACAACTGTGAAGAGGAGTTTGGAAGCTTTCATTTCCATTTGAGATGAACCGCAGGCTGGCTTGCCATGTCACCTAAACCTGAAAAACTGGTTAATATTAACTATGGTTTGCTGGAACAAGCCAAATTCAAACCATCCATTTCAGATACTGTGGTATGAACTTCTTGCAATGACAGGGAGTTGGGCTAGGTTACCTTTGATGCCCCTTTCAATTATGGTTGAACTTAACATCAGTTTAGGGTTCAGATGTAATGCTAACTGGTTAACCTACAATGGAAGTAAAAAACTGCTGTCCTTGCAGCATACAATAGCTTATCCTCACGGTTTTGTGTTAAATGTGCAAATTCTCCCAGTGGGATGTACAGATCACTTAAAGCAAGGATGGGTGACCCTCCAGTTCGAGGGTCTTCAGCATGACCAAATGGTCTGGGATGATGGGAGTTGGAGTGCAGCAGCATCTGGCAGGCCACCAGTTACCCATGTCTGTCTGACTTAGATGAGGGAAGGGGCGGGGGGCCGCAGAAGCTGTTAAGTCCATCCTGTGCAATATGCTTCAGCATGGTGGGTTTCTTCTTCTTTTGAGTGCTGAGGTAGCTTGGGAGGGGGCGGGGGGAATAAATGCTCCTTTTTAATGATACTTTTTGTGGTCTAATTTTGTGTTGTACATCATTGAACCAGTGATTATCAAAAGCTTGAAGCACAGACATGCTCTTAAGTTAGTATACTGCCAAGTGCGTATGTACCTTTTAAAATGGTTTAGCTCAATATTGCAGGCATGTTTATCTTCCCATTTTTACCATGGAAACTGAAGGCACTTCCTGGAACTTCCACCAATCAGAATCTAGAAGGGAGAAAAATCCCTTGTTTGCTATAGCCTCTTACTGCTTTGATATTTTAAAACGTATTGGAGCTTAATTTTCCGGCTTAGCTGGAAATGTAGAACATTCAACACACTTGGGAAAATACCTATGCAGCCTATTGATTAGGTGATAAGGTGATGACATTAATAAAGGTGGTGGATTCTCCTTCATTGAAGGTTTTTAAGTAGAGGTTGCGTGGTCATCTGTCGTGGAGGTTTTCGTTGAGATACTTGCATTGTAGGGGATTGGACTATGTGATCATTGAAGTCCAGTTCTACGATAAAGCAGAATTTGTGTGCAATCTGCTTGTAACTTGTTTTATAAAATTGCTGCTGAACTGTACAGAATAGTTGTTACCATTTCTGCACAACATAAGAGGCTTTGTTAACAGCTGTATGATGGGTAGAAATTCAACAGAGGAACAATGCTTCTTTCCCTAGTTTGGAGATCAAGTGGTGGGGGAGAGCTGACTTGTTTAATCTCCATCCGTAGCTGTTTAAATACTGTACAGAGAAGCTGCAGGGTTGGGTGGGGAGAAGTGGTAAGCCTAGGAAAGAATGAAGTTAAGATGTGAAAAGGGACTTTGTACACTATTGGAAGGCAAGCATGTAAATAAACAATACTTCTAGCAGCATACCTCTGGTGTTTATTTTAAGGAATTTATATACTGTCTTTCATCCAAACTTCACAAAACGTTTTTACATAAAAGCATGAAAGCAAAAAGCATCAACTAAAACTATACAATAGAACAGCAAAGCGATGCTGTTATGGAGAACTTTTTTGAAAGCTAGATCTCTCCTCCTTTCAGGGCAGTGTGGTTCCTGAGAAGCCCAGCAGCGGCAATTTGAGGAGAGGGAGCCCACCTTGCTTGGAACATTGGGAGGGTAGATGGCGTCATTGTTTAAGTAAACAGTTTTACCAGAAATGGGTGCTACTCTGGACTTCTTATTTATTTAGATTTTATTTCTATATATATTGAGGAACCAGGGAATGTGACTGCAAGTGATGAAAATGTCAAAACATTAGTTTTATAATATATGGATTACCTGCTTAACCTCTCCTCCTAAATGGCAACCCAGCCCAAAAGTCTGAACATTTTTGTGGCAGATGGACAGGAGGATTTAACAGCCTCCTGAGGGAAAAGAATTCCAGAGTCCTGGAGCAGCTACCCAGAGATGCCACCTGGTATTCCTGGTGACTTGGCTGATATTTGATCACTACACAGATGTGTTCAGCTTATATATCAGTGGTATTGTAGCACAATCCTGCACATGTTGCACAGACCTAAGGAGCCAATGGAATGTATACCTCTGTTAGTATAAATGTGATTGCTGCATGAATCTTGTCCTGAGCAAAAGAGTTTATAGTTCCTGCATTCCTTTTTGCAAGCAATAGATTTATGCTGCTGCTGCTGCTGCTATTGTGCTGATACATTAGCACAGTCATTCATTGGTAAGTGAAGACTACCAAGGGAGATTAAGTTCTTCTTTGGTGCCGCTTCTGCCTCCTTCACATGTACAGTGGTACCTCGGGTTATATACGCTTCAGGATATATACGCTTCAGGTTACAGACTCCGCTAACCCAGAAATAGTACCTCGGGTTAAGAACTTTGCTTCAGGATGAGAACAGAAATTGTGCTCCGGCGGCGCGGTGGCAGTGGGAGGCCCATTAGCTAAAGTGGTGCTTCAGGTTAAGAACAGTTTCAGGTTAAGAACAGACCTCCAGAACGAATTAAGTTCTTAACCCGAGGTACCACTGTACTTAGAATAGAGTAGGAGGCGAGAATATGCCCAGTCTCCTATGCACATCAAAAGGCTATGATCCCAACTGCCTGCGGTGAATGTTCTTGGAGTTGCTAGATCTACCTTGCTTCTGCAACTTCTATAATGTCTATCCATCTGGAACCTTATATCATGCTGCAAGTCATACATTTGTCTCCCCGCCACCTTACCTTCCTTTTTCCTTCTTGCTGTGGGCATGAATGTGAGCTGCTAGCTGAACCATTTGTATGTGTTTGTGAAGGTGTGGCAGAGTCACTTACCAGTTTCTTAGCAATATGTGATCTGTAGCTAAGATGTGCAAACTGGCCATGATTGGTGGCTTCAGGTATCCAAATTTTGTTTTATAAAGTGGGAAAGCAGGTGGCCTTGAAAGTGTAGTGTGACAGACCTTCATTTCAGATGGAGGTAGGGCACATTTTGGTTATTGTTGTCAGATTTTTCCTGTCTGCAGCTAGATATCTTTTTGTAAGTAGTGCTGCTTTGACAATAAGGGTTGCTCCTGATTGTTGTTTGCCATGTATGCATGACAGATCATGCAGAATGAAACATTCAGAATTCACTAGGCAAGCTAGCAGCACACCTGCTACGGCAAGAAATCTGGGTTCTGAAGCTTAATCCTATGGCCTTTTATGATGACCATATGCATAGCAGAGATTTCACTTTGTATATGGTTTCTTCTCTTCACTACTAGCTTGTGAAGGTTTTTCTTTTTGTAGCTTCAGGCAAAGTTTACATCTCAGTTTACAGTGATGAAGGGGAGGGGAAATTTCTGTGTTGTGCAGTTTATGTAACCACTTCCCTTTCTTCATATTCCAGGTGAAAGTTGATTTTAAGTTTTACTTGTTTTCAGTAGAAGTCAATTTGTTTATATGTCAATTTTAAAAAGTATAGTATTTGTGAAAAGGAGACAAAACTGCATGTTAAACAGTCTGTTTGAACAGTAAACTTAGATATAGGCCATTGCAGTACAAATTATGTACACAGTGGTTACAAATGCGCAAAGCATTTTTATGGATCTTATTCACTGTTTTTTTGGTATTAGTTACATTGCCCTGAAATAAAAAAAGTGTGATGGGTGGAATAAAAAATGGGTTAAAACAAATAGTAAAATACCCTCTAAGGCCCTTTTAGCTAGATTTATTTATTTATTTATTTATAGATTATTGCAAGTTTCACAAGCTCACCAGAAGAGAATGCTTGGTTTGGACAGAATATGCAATCTTCAGAGATCTTTAGATTGCTGTGAGATATTGTTGTTTATCCTAAATTATACTCCCATATACAGCATTTCCTTTGTGTTTGAGAAAGGAAAAAAATCTTGCTCTTTAATTCTTTTAGAAAGTCATGAAATGGACACCATTCCAAACATAATTTCATCCTCCTAGAAGTTGACTTAAAACTAAGTCAACTAAAGATTCTTTCGAGCACAGCTTAGTACAGATTGAGAGCTGCTATTCTGTGAACAGAAGGGCTCATTTCATTTCTGAAATTAATTCTATTCCAGCAGGCTTTCCAAAGGATGAAGTGGGTGATGGCAGGTGATTTTCAACTATATCCACTTGCCCTCAGTGGTCTCCCACACTGGTCTGGATGGTACCCCAGACGGCTACAATTTTTTTTGGGGGGGGCTACAAGAGGAAGGAGAAATTGTTGAGAGTCATCTCTCCTGTTCTGCCTATAGAAGAGTCCAGTTAGTGGAGTTCTGCTCTTGGCAACTCTGCATTCAACCCATTATATAGTTGAAGTTCTCTGGAACCATAGCAGCTAAGGCCTTGATTGTGTAGATCAGGCATCCCCAAACTCAGCCCTCCAGATGTTTTGGGACTACAACTCACATCATCCCTAGCTAACAGGACCAGTAGTCAGGGATGATGGGAATTGTAGTACCAAAACATCTGGAGGGCCGAGTTTGGGGATGCCTGGTGTAGCTACTACATTTTAGGGTGTAAGTTCTGTGTCATAACTGAGTGGATTCTGAGATTAATACCTTTTAGGGAGGGCAGAAGTATGAATGACTCATGCATCCTCTTTTTGGAGTTCTGGTGTAACATTTGAAGAAGGAAGGTGCACATCTGGTGCCCGCATCTCACCGGGGGAAGAGGTGCTTGTTTGTTTTGTTTGTTTTCTGTTTCTTTTCTTTTCGGATAACTTCAGGATACTTCAGGCTTCTAATATCTGAATTACATTTGGGTGGTATCTTCAGAAATGTGATTTATTTAGATTAGAATCCATGAGAAGGTAACTCAAACCCAACATACAACTTTCACTATGATACTGCTCTTGTTGTATCTTAAATTCTATTTTATTTGTCCTTGATGTGATGATCCTTTTGTTTATACCACATCAGATTGCCAGTGTGCATGCTTCTTCATATCAGTTATAGACTTGGTTTCATTGTTCTCAGTGCCTGTTTTTTTCCTCTGGAGCAATTTCTTCTTTGTGTGGAGGCATAGTTATGTGAGCTACTCTCTACCTTCAACCTTAAGTCAAACAGGCTAGACACAGCTGTATCACTTTAGTGAGAAGCAAGGTCTAAATGACTGCAGCAGCATGGACAGCCCTTTAGGTAGTGTTTTTTTATTATAACAAACAAATAAAATTTTATCCTGCTTTTGTCCTGGATTGGGATTCATGGTGCCTTACAAATAAAAATACAAAACACAGATAAAATAGAAAAGTGATAAACAGAAAATACAATCATTTCAAAGCATTTCGTCACTAATAATATTCAAACCAATATAAAAACAAATCTTATAAAAATAAGAATATGACAACAATATGAACATCACAGCACCAGACCTTTCTTTAAAAACAGTCATTCCCTAAAGGTCTGTTTAAATAAAAAGGTCTTCATGTGCCGGTGGAAAGACAACAAGGAGGGAACCAGTCTTAACATCTCTAGGAAGAGATTTCTGAAGTCTGGGAGCAGCCACCAAGAGGGCTCTTCAAAAAAATCTAATGATGGGCATTCATATTGTATAAGCAAGCTGTTTGATTTCTTTTTGTCTGCAGCATGTACATGTGGGTGTTCTTACATAGAATTTTTTTACTGGGTGTTTATTTTTATATAAAAATTAATTTAAATAAATAGTGGGTGAATCGACAGTGTCGTAATTTGCTTGCATGAATTACACATTGTTACTCCTTTGAAATCTTGGGTGGTAGTCAACTAATTTTACTCTAGAGTAGGCCTATTGAAATGAATGAGCATTACTAAATTAGGCTCATTAATTTCAGCCTGAGTAAAACATAGTTGAATACCACCCCTATTGTCTTCAGATTTAAACTAGTAGCATGATATTGTCCAAAGGTGCTTTAGTCTTTCCTCCCCTTTACAGTATATTTTAAAACTCTTCTTAAAGGTAAAGGCCTTTAAGAGGCTAAGGAAGTGCTCCTGCTCCTGCTGTGTGCTTTCAAGATGGGGCTGGAAATAACCCTTGCCATGGGGGCAGCAATTGGATTACAGCCAGCATTAGTCATGCTCTGAGTAGACCCTTTGAAATGAATAGTCATTACTAACTTCAGTGCACTATTTTCAGTGGGTCTACACTGAGCATTACTGACTCTGGGGAAAAAAACCCATAATTAATATCTTTTGTACTGGAAACAACACTGCATGAGCATTGTAGCTTTTACCATTAAGTTTACTTTAAAGGTTAAAGCTTCTTTGAGCTAACCTTGCATTATTGTAAGCTTACTAGGACACCCACCCCCACACATGCAGACTTTGCAGGTGCAGAAAACAATATAACTCATAATCTTGGTTGGAATTACTTTAATATTTTGTATGTTGGGTCAAAGTCAGGTCTATGCTATATAGGAGGTTTGAACATAGTAGATTTGACATATGAACTGACTAATTGTGAGTTTCGGCAGCATCTCTGATAAATGTGTATTTTTCACTGTTCCAATAAAGGAACTTCAGCTGACTTTAATGGAATGCAGCTTGCATCAAGTATAGTTGTTGCAGTGTTTTCCTTTCCCACTCCTGGGATGCTGCTGCTACACTTCCTGGAGTTCACTAGAGGTCCTTCTGACTCCAGTCCAACATGTGCTGGCAGCTGGAAACAGCCAACGTTTTGCTTGCTCCACAGGCAGCTAAATGACCTCTCAGCCAACTCTCCTGCTATTTCTTGCTCATTCTGCGCTATTCTGTGGAGAAAACCAGGGAGGAGATGGCGTGAGGCGGAAAGTGGGTTACTCCCTGCAAGTGGTTTGCTCAGCTTGCCTTAATATTCATCCATATTTAGCCTGCAAAGGAAAAAAAATGCAATGTTTTTCTTACCTATTTTAAGACTTCCACATTCTAAAGAAAATTGAATGGTTTCTTAGTTGTGAATTTGGGATGGGATTGATATGCTTAGTGATGTGTTATTTGAAATATATGTCTCTATAGCTCTGGAAACAAATAATAATAGGTTGTGTCTGGGACTTGGTCTGTAATCGAATGTAGTGATACTGGAAATCTTGCTGCAATTCTGGGTGCATACGGCTTAGAATAATGAAGCACTTAGTTGAACTAGCTTTGTTGCTAGTGATATCTAACATTCTAAGTTCTTGCCTTGATGTGAGAACTTGCTTGTGTTAAAGTTGTGTGGGAGAATCTATAAAAAAGATGTGGGCATTTATGAAGGCTTGAATAGATTTTAACAAATCAGTGACGACTGGCATTTAAACAAGTTTTCAATTTGACACATAGACTAAGAAAAGAACCCTAAAGATACGGGAGAAGAGAAAATAGTTTTCCCCCAAACAATATTGCTGAAGTGGTGGTGATTTTGAGCCGCCTTACACTATCATTATTGTGCTTTAAGGTTGGTTTCAAGTAGTGTTTGCAGAGAAAAAGTCCTTTAGAACTTAACAAGAAATGTGAGTTGTTAGTTCCCGCAGCAGTTCGTGGCTGCTTCCAGAAGCCTTGGGATTTTGTTAAAAGTGTGACTCTAGAGCTGGACACCATTTATGAAGAGAAGTAAGTAATTTAAGGTAGCTGGATATATGCTGCAAAGTCTTTTTTTGACATTTTTAAAAAAATGCGGGTAGGGCTAACTTGGATTCATTATGTATCTGCAAAGATTGAGGAAAACTTTCTCAACTTTTTCTGAAGAAATGTATATTCACATCTTTGATACATGTGTGCTGGAATAGTGCAGTAAACATCTGTTTGTTGATAAAAAATACATATTTGACAGAATTCTGTTTACATTGTATAGTACAGCTTTGTATGGTATATGAGGTTTTTTGGTATAGACTAGTTTCATATTGATACTGTGCTGTCAACCTCAACTGCACAGAAACTATGAGTCAGGCATGGTACGAAGATTTGTATATTTAGTTTCTGTGTTGCTAAAGGCACTTTTACGGATGTTCTCAGCAATTTCATGATTTAAACACTTTTTGATTAAGTGAAAGTTGAGATTCTCTGTTTCCAAACAGGGACTTTAAACCAAATATTGCAGCTATTGTGATGCAATATTGCAATATTATACAAACAATCAGAATATGAGGAATATTTACTTTTCCTGTTTTGCGAGTAGCTATTTGAGATAAATCTAGAACACTGATGGAAATAATTCTGTTGGTAAAGGAAGTAAGCAATTCATTCTAGAAGCATAAAGAGCTCAGATGCGTTACTTAATATTTATGGCTTATGGCATGTTTTATGTGCAGTCTTCAATGTGACTACATGAATTGCCATATTCACATGAACAACGTCAAAGTCTTCCTGACGTCTTTATTTCTCTTTCAAGAAGCCAACACTCCACTTCCTATTTTACTTTTTTCTGTGTTTTAATGTGAATGCCAACTGTGTATATATTTTAACACCCCCCAACCCCAACACCCCCTGCATCTTTTGGTCTACACTTTGAGCTGCATAGAACTTCTCTTCTTTAATACAAAGAGCACAAATGAGCTGTCTACCACTTCCCTATTGGAGACTCTCATGTTATGTCAGTAGTGCCTGATGGGTGTAGAACATCTGCACTTCCTTTTAGATGCTCAATTTTATTCAGGAATGAACCCATATTGGGGGCGCAAGGTCCTGTAAGCCTGTTTAGATGCATACTGCTCTCCAGTATCGGTCCGTACTGTGCACTACTGCCATGTCTATGAACTTGGAAATCCTAAGCTAGCTAGCTATCATCATTGAAAAAACATTTGTCCCTTTTGAATCTCTTGCATCCCTGTTATAAACCATTTTGATGATGTGTGCAGCTGCTGTGTGAGAGTAACATCATTGCATCACCAGTGTAATGGCTCTGATGATGCCCTGTCTTGTTCATTTGTGCTGGCACAGTTTCAGAATTGAACAGTTACACCTGAGTCATTTTGCTGCCAAGCAATGAGTGCTTGTAAAACGCTGTCGTATGAGTATCTTTGCCAGCAGAGGAACATTATGTGGTAACAAGGGAGAAAACCTCCTCTGTGGTGGCACCCTGAATACCCTCCCCATAGATTACAACTGGTGCTTGACAATATAATCCTTTCAGCATCAGGTGAAAACCTTTTTTTTATTATTTACTCAGACAGTTTAAGTGTTGGTTATGCTATTAATTAGCTCTAGGGTTTTTTTTAGCTGCTTCACAGGCTATTTTATTGATTGATTTGTTATTACTGTATTTTATCTAGTTATGATGAGTTTAGTCATGCATTTTGCACAATGCCCTGGTATCTGTAAGGATGAAAGTTAAAACCCTTTAGAAATTAACTTAAATTTGATGGCCAATGTTGGACACTCAGTGCTGGACGGGGTAGATTTTCCTGAGCCAATCCCATTGAAATTAATGGGTGATATGCAATGTTAGTCACTACTCAAAGTATGTCTGTTAAACTAAATGTACTTGCACATCTTAAGCCCATTGATTTCAATGCTCTGAATATGACTTGGTTATCACCCACTGAGAGCTGTGATTGGGTACCTGGGAAGCTGGTGTGTTTGACTGTTTTAAGTCTCTCCAGTGGAGATTGTCTAAAGCACAACTCAGGCTCTCAAGATATTGCATGGTGTGTCCTAAGAGACAAGTGATGCGGAGTATGCATGTTGGGCATCCTTGCTCTGCAGCAGTGACTGTATATATTACATATAAAACTTTTGTATAGTAATAGTGAGGGAACAGAACCTGCATTGTTTGAATATGGTTTCAGCCATGTGTGTTTCAAGTGGATCATATTAAATATGAATGTTGATATTGTATCTCCACTTTGCATTAGCTAAATGACTTGATGCTACTGATCGTAGATCTTGCAGTACCACAGAAAGTTCTTTATGAAACCCTCAGATTGATTTCACTATTAACCACATGAAACATTATATTAATTTCTTTACTTCCAGAACCTGTCATTTGAAGTCAATATAGGTTTTTGATATGCATGCAGTCCCTTAGGTCCCATGACACGCTTAGATTTCTTAGGCTAGTTGGACAATTCTGCTTTTGTGTGCTTATGCGAAACTAACATCTTGTCAAGTTATGAAGAAAGTCTAAGCAGGTGGCTTTTCAGGAGAAAAGAACATCTTTCTTCCTGGAGGACCTTGGTATGTCGAGACTTCTGTGTAATATGCAAAATGGGACTTGCCAGTTTTGAGTGTTTGGTTTAGAAGTAATTTTCTGCCTTTCTTTCTGATCTAGAACTTCGCTAAGAAGAACAAACTGTTCTTGCCAAAGTCTTAAAAGCATTGTTATTTTTCTAATAATTCTTGACAATTGGGTAGTTTTGCAAAGGAAGTTGTTGGACTCAGTCTCATCAGCTCCAGTCAGTATGGCCAATCATTAGGGCCATGTTGTAGTCCCCAGTGTCTTTTGAAAGGTCGCAGTCTCCCCATTCCTGTCCTACACCGATCACGTCAAAATCGGCACACAGAGTAAAATGCTAAAAGGTGTGGATCTAAGCGTGGCCAATAAAACACCAAGTGTGCACAATTTCCAACAATGAAATTACTATTGCATAGGAAACTTGTTTTCTGTGTGAGAAACTACTGTGGAAATGTTGCAGCACGTTTTCCAGTGCAAAATGGCAGTGGTGCCTTCATCTGAGCAGTATGAATTTACCCACGTACCTCTTGGCTACTCATAAGAGTATAGAGTGTGGTGGGGAGAATTTGTCTGAAATTGTCCATTATTTGTCAGGCTGCTGAGGCACCTATCTGTATATTTCCCGCTGGCAGGGTGAGATTATTTTTGGCCAAGTTTGTTATAAGATTTGGTTCTGCTTGGTCTTGTGGCAGGAAATGCTAATGGGTAGTTAGATGTCCCTTTTCACCACATTTGCGGCTCTGTTTAGTGCCTGTCAGCTTTGCCAGTTGAATTTTCTGCCTCGGGCATCAAAGTGTTTTAGCTGGCACTGAGTGGCAATTTGGGGTGTGTGTAAGTTACATACAACATGGGGTATCAGAATTTGCTCGAGTGGCATTTGTAGCTTGAGATTTTCCTGGGATTTTTCTTTGTACTGCTATGGAGTGAAATGGATCTGGGCCATTTGGAGTAGGAATTTGAGCTTTTGTTGTGAAGAGTATGTGTTCTCTTTTTAATCTTTTACCCTTTTGCAGTAAACTCCCCCCCCCATCCTTTGGAGTAGATTTGGGGAGTCAGGGTGTGGGGGGAGTTCCATCGCACAAGCCTAAATCCTTGGATTCACCCATGTCCTCTCCATTATAAGCCTTTGAGAACTGCACTGATTTCCATAGGAACTGTGTGACTAGTTTGTGGTCCCTTTACATTTGTACATTTGGAGTTACCTGCTCAGGTATGCTTTGTGATGATCAAATCAGAGTGAAACAGTTTAATTTTGTGCGGTGTGGGAACAAATACTATTTACTATTATAACATGTCATCTGTGGAGAATTCTCTTAAGATTTGCTATGACAATATCAATGTTGTTGGTTGGCTCCCCACACTTGTCTTTTAAAAGGTCTAGAAGATTAGGAGCAGAGTAAGCCCAGTATTGCAAGGACTTTACTGAATGAAATTCAGCAGCTAAGCAAGTGAGTAAAATTGGGCCTGATGCAAAGTCTGTTTTGAAAACCGATCGGGTATTTCACTACTATAATGTGAAAACAATACATCTGTAAGCCAAGCAAATGTTAGTCTGGCTCTGAAGTAATTTTTCCATACAGATTGAAGCCAGGCGCATTTGCTTAACGTTTTCACTGCTCTGCTAGCTTTTGATTGTTTTGAGATTGGAAGCTATGAGTATTCCCTTATGATCCCTTTATGGTTTTAATGCCAAGTTTGCGGAATACTTTGTGTAAAAAGTGCTGTCATGCTTGCTTACATTCTCATTTCATGTTGAAGAGGGGGTGGGGGAAGTCAGGCTAGGTTCATAGAACTGAAAAGCACTCAAAAGGTAATCCCACCAGAACCCCTGCTGTGGTAGTACTGTGTTGATTGAAATAATCTTGGATAGATGTTCATACAGTCATCTCAAGCGCTGATATTTATGTGCCGAAAGCTGTTCATTTTGCTCTCCAAATTATGTGGTATTTCTTGCTGTACATGGTTAGCATTAATATCTGCTGCTTTAAATTAATAATGCTTCCTTGTGTGAAACGTGCATTAGAATACACACACTATTTGCTTGACTAAGGATCATTCTTTGTAATGTCACTGCTAAGGGATACTAAAAAGGTAAAGATAAAGGTACCCCTGCCTGTACGGGCCAGTCTTGACAGACTGTGGGGTTGTGCGCCCATCTCACTTAAGAGGCCGGGGGCCAGCGCTGTCCGGAGACACTTCCGGGTCACGTGGCCAGCGTGACATCGCTGCATCTGGCGAGCCAGAGCCGCATATGGAAACGCCGTTTACCTTCCTGCCAGTAAGCAGTGCCTATTTATCTACTTGCACCCGGGGGTGCTTTCGAACTGCTAGGTTGGCAGGCGCTGGGACCGAGCAACGGGAGCGCACCCCGCCGCAGGGATTCGAACCGCCGACCTTTCGATCGGCAAGCCCTAGGCGCTGAGGCTTTTACCCACAGCGCCACCCACGTCCCTAAGGGATACTACTTCAAGCCAAATTACATTACATACCCAAGTTCCCTTCATAAACAAAGGAGTGCTCAGAGTAGTTGACAGGATTTGGATGGTGCTCTAATGTGGGGGGAAGAGAGTAACAGTGCAAACAGCAGTTTGGGTTGTGTGTGATTTTTAAGTTGGGAAATTGAACTGTCTTGGGGCTAATAGTTAACCCAATCTCCCTGCACCATAACTGCTATCCAAATCTCTCACATAAATGTCTGTGCCCACCCATACACGGGAAGCTGCATTTTGAAGGAAAGGACCCTTGTAGTTTGGCCCTAAGGGTCCACAGATCCTAAAGCGGCTTTTTAAAAAAAGCTAACAATTTTTTTCTCCCACTTTATGCACAAGTAAAAAACAAAAGATACCTTGTTCAATTGGAAAACTGAATATTTCCTCATTGTGCGCTATGACACTTCAGTGCAGTTAATCATGGGTTCTGAAGTGCACATTGCATTCTCCTTGCTGAAAAAGGATTCAAATATTTCCATTTAATATTTGGTTATAGAGAGCCATGTGTTCATATTATAAATATACAGCTGTAGTCCAACCTGAAAAGTGGCTGTGTGGCATAAGAGCCACCTTGGATGTCAAAAACATAAAGGTACCCCTGCCCGTATGGGCCAGTCGTGTCCGACTCTAGGGTTGTGCGCCCATCTCACTTAAGAGGCCGGGGGCCAACGCTGTCCGGAGACACTTCCGGGTCACGTGGCCAGCATGACGAAGCTGCTCTGGCGATCCGGCACCAGCACAGCACACGGAAACACCGTTTACCTTCCCGCTAGAAAGCGGTACCTATTTATCTACCTGCACTTTAGGGGTGCTTTCAAACTGCTAGGTGGGCAGGAGCTGGGACCGAAAGATGGGAGCTCACCCTGCCGCGGGGATTCGAACCGCCGACCATGCGATCGGCAAGCCCTAGGCGCTGAGGTTTTACCCACAGCGCCACCCGCGTCCCCCCAAAACATAATTACATATAAATCCCTCACGTGTGTGTGTGTGTGTGTGTAATTTAAAGTGCAAAAGGGGCATGTAGACATGGGGTATGGAATTCCTCCCCTCAAGCACAACTTGTCTCTCTGCATTTTGTCCCCGGATGCCATTTTTCTCTCACTCTGTCTCCAGTGTGGGAAATTGGTCTGGCTAGGAGAAAAATGGCTAAGGGGGAGAGGCTGTGTGAAAGCAAGTGGCAGTCATGTGGAGAGTTCTGTTACCTTGGGCACATAAAATCAGAGAGCCCCCTCCCCATCTTCTACATAACTCTGGCAGACCCATGTTGGCAGTATAGACTGGTCCATGATATGCTATGCAGTGAAGCGTTTTCTGTGTGTGTCTGGCAATCTTTCTGTCAGCTTTTCTAGTACTGTATACTGAACACAAGCTGAATGACCCTGTTGTTCCCTCTAAGTGAATTACTCCTTGATACTGAAGGGCCAGTGAAGGTATTGGGCAGTGATTCCATTTTGCTTCATGCTTAATGACAAAAGCATGAGTCAGTTACTACACTTAATATTTGAGGCAAATATTGACTGTTCTTGTTCATGTGCAAAAAATTGAGCCAGGGGAGGGGGAGAATGAGGTAATACTTATAGCACCAGTGACCAAGCGGTGCCCACCAGAATTTGCTGTATTTCAACTCCCATCATCCCTCGCTATTGGCCATGATGGTTGGGAGTTGAAGTCTAAGAACATCTTGACCGTGTTAGTTGATGTATTGAAACTTCCCTTTCCATTGTAAATAGGAAAGGCATGCAATGTACTGCAATCACACTTCATGCATTCCCATTTTGAATAACTCTTCTCTTGTTAATTAGATCAGTCTTTTCCTTCTAAAGTGCAAGGTTATGCACACATAAGAAATCCTTGCTTTGGTTTGAACTAGGTTGTCCCTTCTACTGCTCTGTTTACATGCTTTTGGGATGTTTGTGGTACCTGTCCTATGAAGGATAGCATACCATCAATGTGCATGATGTACAAGAAGACCAGTTCCTGAATACCTTATAAACCTATTTGACACTGAGTTGAACGTTGTATCAGAGCCCTCCAAGAGGCAGAAGCAAATCTTGCTCTTGCATTTGAGAGTTGTACTCCTGTTACTTTTTATGAGGGGTGCAGAAGGGGCACACCCAGTGGGGTGGAGCCACAACACAGCTGTGTTGCTGTGCTTACCAGGAATGAGAAGGGGCAGGGAAGTCAGTGCATTGTGGGTGCTTTTGGGCAGGGGTTCCATGGTACATGATGACATGGGAATACTTGGAACTGCTTGTGGTAGATTCACCTTTTGCTTCATGGTTTCTGTTGTGGGACATAATCCTTGAATATTGAAATTCTGATCAGATTCTGATTCTCATTTGTACAGTGGTGCCCCGCAAGACGAATGCCTCGCAAGACGGAAAACCCGCTAGACGAAAGGGTTTTCTGTTTTGGAGGTGCTTCGCAAAACGAATTTCCTATGGGCTTGCTTCGCAAGACGAAAATGTATTGCGAGTTCCTGCAGGGTTTTTTTTCCTCCCCCCCCCTTTTCCCAAGCCGCTAAGCCGCTTATCAGCTGATCCGCTAAGCCGCTTATCAGCTGATCCGCTAAGCCGCTTATCAGCTGATCCGCTAAGCCGCTTATCAGCTGATCCGCTAAGCCCGCTAAGCTGCTAATAGCGCTAAGCCGCTAATGGGCTTGCTTCGCAAGACGAAAAAACCGCAAGACGAAGAGACTCTCGGAACGGATTCTTTTCGTCTTGCGAGGCACCACTGTAAATCTATGTGCTGTTACACGCTTTCACTGGATGTTTTTGAGGGGTTGCTGTTCTATGCAGCTCATGTAAAAGTCTTAGAGAACATCAGTTACTGTTTATCTCTGGGTGGGGAGGTAGCATAAGAAGGCCCATTGGCAGTCATGGATTTAGTAAGCAAGGAATTGAAGCTTCTGATGCCATGGTAACTTCAATGTAAAATATAATCCCATGCTTCTTCGTGATTAGCTCAGTGAAAAGTTTTCAGGGTCTCTTTAGAGCTGTCATGCTCATTCTTGTCATTCAGTCAGAAAACTAATGTAGAACCTTTGGATGCATGCATGTGAGAAATTGGGAGAGGGATGGGGGAAAGTATCTTTTGGGAATTTTTTAAAAGCATTTGTTTTTATGTTGCTTTGATCCAGCTTACAGATGGCAGTCACGGTCAATCCCTGAAGATATACGGCCAGAAATATGGATTGCACGGGAATTACAGCGCATTGGAGATGAATTTAATGCTTCCTACAGTCCGAGAAGGGTAACTTAATTTTTTTAATCTCTTTGCTGCAGCCCTGTATGCCCAAACAGGGGTATTCTTAGTTTTGGCAGGAGAAAGCACACACAACAAAGGTGTTGGTTCCTTATTCATAAAGGTGTCAAACTGACCAAATGTGCCGAATTTGCAGAAAGATGCAGCCTGCTTCACCCACTCATCTGCTTATAAACTGCTTGCTTTTTTTCCCTTCTTGTAGCACATCAACTTTATTTGTATTAATTCAGGTCTAATATATCCCACATTCAAGGAGCTTGAGGTGAGTTTGTGGGCCCCCTTGTGTGTGTTTGCAGCAGAGTGTTGATAGTGGCCAAGTCCCTGGTTGGTGGGTGCTGGCAGTCTTTCTGGGGACACTGGGGGTGCGTCATTCTCCTGCAGCCTTTGTATTTTCTGCTTGTGGGTTTTCCTGCACTGAGCTGAGCATTCACTGGGTTGTGCAGTCATTCTGCTGGGGTAGCAGCACCATTTCTTCTTCTCTCCCCCAGTGTAACATACGTATAAGATTGCCCTGCCCAGGCCCTATTACTCAACTTGATGTACTTGCATGTTTACGTATTGTGACTAGGAGTAAAAAAATTGCACCATAATGTAGAAATTCCTTATCAGTGGCATTCAGAGGGATGTTTACTGAAAGCCAGAACTGTGTGTGCACATACTGGTGTTCTTTCCAGTTTTCATTCAGTACCAATTGAAAGAATCTCATAAAGCTACCTTTTAAGAAGACCCCTAACTTTAAAAAAAGCAAACTATGCTTGGTTTTACTGAAAAGCAGTTGCGGGAGCTTGCAAATTTTATCAGAGCAACTGGGATAGGGTAGGGTGAAGAGACTTATTTGTGGGGCTTTATGTCAGTCAAAATTGTCCTTTGCTGCTTTTCTCCCCTATTAAAATATGGCAACTGTTTCTGTGTTTCGCATAGATACTTTAGTTTGATCTGGAGGGCTTTGTCAGGAGTGTGGCTCCCAGCAAAACATAACAAGAGCGGGGAATGTATTGCCATTTCCCTCTGTTGTAAAGTTTGGGATATTCTGGTGTACCTTATAAGTATCTGTGCAGGGAGGAGGGAATGAAACTATTCAGTCAGCTCAGTGACAGGTTAACTTCGATAATCAATAGCTTTGATATCAGAAACTCTGTAAGTTCAGTGGTACAGGCTGTGTGTGTCAGTATAACAGCCTTCCCCTAACTTTGTGCCCTCTACTTCTATTACAGGCATAGGCAAACTTGGCCCTCCAGATGTTTTTGGCCGACAACTCCCATGATCCCTAGCTAACAGGACCAATGGTCAGGGATGGATGGAATAGTAGCCCCAAAACATCTGGAGGGCAGAGCTTGCCTGTTCTATTAGCTCCAGCCAGAATGGCTGATGGGAGTTGTAGTTCAAAACATCTGGAGGGCACCAGGTGGAAGAAGGCTACAGTAGAAAAACAAAACAGTCAAAATGTTTGCAGTAGCGCTGTATTGAATACAACTCTACACTTTAAAATCACAAAGGAATTCAAAGTTGGGGAAGGGTATATATTTACTGTCTGAAGGAATAGTAGGTGGAGCTTAAGAACTGATTTATTTCTTTTCTTCCCAATACTTTTGTCCATATGGTGGTTGAACTTTTGTGGTCTACGGTGCACTTTTATAATTTTGTGAGCAGTGTGCCAGAGGAAGTCTTCACTTTAAATAGAGGATGCGTATCTGTTGCTAGCCCTGCTCCAGTAACTCTACCAGCAGCTTATTATTAGAAAATTAAGCAGGTAAAGTGTTTTCCTGGTATGGAGAGGAGATGGTGGGAGAAGCTTGAACTGCCAAGTCTCAATGCGCTTGGCAAGGCCAAGTGGAAAAGTCAGCAACCCTTTGGTAGTTTTTGGTAAAGGTATGCTTGGTTTTTAGTCAAAACTTGGAGGAGACAGCCCATGTGTTTGATCCACGTCCACCAATGCCTTGCATCTACCTACCTGTTGGCTGCTAGTGCTTTTGGTGAGTGGTAGTGTCTCCAAATGTGTAGATTCCCTGCTACTGTAATGCAGCTGCCTAATGATCACAATTCTGTGGAATTTATTTTATTTAATATGGGGTTGCCATATGTTCAGAATTTCCCAGACATATCTGGAATACTGCAGCTGCAAGCAGTGTCTGGGTGCAAATTGGTGAAATGTCTGGATGTATGGCAGCACTGACATTTTTGCCGATTTTCCTGAGAAATATGGCAACCCTATTTAATACATTTATTTACTGTGCTTCATTTGGCTGTTCACAGAATATGGGCTACAAGACAGCATTCTGCTTGCTTTTAACTATTGAGAGCCAGATACTTCATAACTGTCCTCTGTGCTTTGTTACTGGAAGCAGAAGGATGACACTGTAACTTTGCAGACAGGGAAGGACTTAACACAGTGCTTCTCTTCTGGGCATGTACAGACATGTCTATCCCTGCAGTAGTCTGATTCTTCTTACTTTATCAGTAGTGAAGAGATTGCAATTAGTTTTATTTCAGCAAAAGGAACCATTTGTTCAGTAACGTATAAAACTTTGGGATCTCTTTTCCCTCTTCTTTTTCTGTATGTAATGAACTGCTAATTCCCCAGTGTGCAGTGCAGTGACCTCCTTTCCATTACCATTGCACTTCTTGTGTCTTGTTCTGCCTGTCTCATGAATGGTGCAGTTCTTTTGCCTTTAGGCAGTGTTGGCAGACCTAATAACCTGACTTGGAAGTGCACATGTTATTACCACAAACTGATCTGTGGCATCAATAGTGACACATCTCTCTCTTTCTGACTCTCCCTCAGGGGATATGGAAGATTGACAGTCTAGCATTCAGTTAAAGATTCCTGTGCTTGCCAACTTAAGTGACTGCATGGTGTGGGTGGCGGGGGGGGGGCATGTTCCGGATCAATAACTGGTTAAAGATCAGGAAACAGAATTGGAAATAAATGGACAGTTGTCACAGAGGAGGGCTGTAAGAAGAGGGATCCTCCAGGGATCTGTGTTGGAGCCTGTGCTTTTTGACTAGTTGATTTATTATCTGGAGTTAGGGGTGGAAAGTCAGGGTGCCTTTATGACATTGCATTATTCAGGATTTTGACCAAACTGCGGGAGGCAGTGGAAGACAGGAGTGCCTAGCGTGCTCTGGTCCATGGGGTCACAAAGAGTCGGACACAACTAAACAACAACAACAACAACAAGGAGCTCTATAAGGAACTTGCAAAACTAGGGGAATGGGCATAAAAATGGCAAATGCTGTTCAGCATAAGCAAGTTATGTACAATGGAGAAAAAAAAAAAAGAATTCCTAAAGTCACAAATATGCTCAGGGAATCTGAACTGGCAGTGACTGATGGGGAACCTTGTGGTCGTGGCAAAGATTTTGATTCAGCATGCAGCAGCTGTGAAAATGTGAATTTCATGTTAAAGACCGTTAGGAAACGGGTTGAAAGTAAAACTACCAATATCATGTCATTATGCAAATCTATGGTACAACCACAATTTGAAATGCTGTGAACAATTCTGATGGCCACACCTCAAAAATGGTAATGCAGAACTGGAAAAAGGTTCAGGAATGGCAATCAAAATGATCACGGTGTGAAGCTATGAGGAAGATGACAATGTCTGCAGCTTTTTAGTATTAAAAAAAGGCGAGTGCAGGTCTCATAATAGTCAAACCTGGAGTCTACCAGTGAAACCGAATGTTAGGAGAATGAGGGCAGACACAAAAGGATGTTATTCTTCACACAGTGCATGATTAAACTATGGAATTCAATACTACAATATTATATAGCCACCAGTATGGATGGTTTTGGGGACGCGGGTGGCGCTGTGGGTTAAACCACAGAGCCTAGGACTTGCCGATCAGAAGGTCGGCGGTTCAAATCCCCGCGACGGGGTGAGCTCCCGTTGCTTGGTCCCTTCTCCTGCCAACCTAGCAGTTTGAAAGCACCTCAAAGTGCAAGTAGATAAATAGGTACCGCTCCGGCGGGAAGGTAAATGGCGTTTCCATGCTCTGCTCTGGTTCGCCAGAAGCGGCTTAGTCATGCTGGCCACATGACCCAGAAGCTGTACGCCTGCTCCCTTGGCCAATAAAGCGAGATGAGGGCCACAACCCCAGAGTTGTCCACGATTGGACCTAGTAGTCAGGGGTCCCTTTACCTTTATGGATGGTTTTAAAAGGGGCTTGGACAAATTCATGGAGGACAAGGCTATCAATGGTTTATGACTAGTTCCAGTGTCTGAGGCACTATTCCTCTGAAATCCGAGTTGCTGGGGAACATTTGCATCTGGGCTTCTCATGGGCATCTGGTTGGCCAGTGTGGAAAAGATGCTGGACAAGAATGGGCCTTTGGTTTGATCCAGCAAGGCTCTTTCTTGCAAGGAAATATGGATGAGATGAGATACCTAATCCTCCACCCCAAAAAACTATTGGGGCTTGGTTGTGGGATGGGGAAGCTGCCAGGGGACAAGGAAAGAAGGGTTAAACTGCCAGCTGCCACTTTCCCCCTCCAGATGCCCCTGTGTTATTTGCATCACTGGTTAAACCAATTTGAGTGATTTTCCAGGCTGCAATTTTCAGCTTAAGAAATATTTCCTCAATAGTGTTTTGCTTCCCGTTAGCTATTTGTTTTGGCTAAACTTCTCCGGCTGTTTAGTATGTTTTATATTTAGCTCCTTCCCGTTTTTCACGCCTTTATTTTGGACTATGTAGCTTTTTTGTTCAGCTGGCAAAGCTTCACACACCTGATTTGTCACACATCAAAATAACGTGCAGAAGGAGTGTTCCGTAATGAACTGTTGTGATGAGTCATTTGGTTTACATATGAATTGGGTTTTAGACAGCTTTTTGGTTTCCTCATTCATATCTGGAAGCTTGAGTAGAATGTGCTGCTAAATGTTACTACTGATAACAATAGTAAACTCACAGGAGACTTCAGAAAGAACGAGTGGCTGTCAAGGTCTGTTTTTGTTTCCTATGCACCTGCTTCCCTGGATTGAACTTGCAGAT